GGGTTACAGCGCTGGGATTTTAATGGGCGCTGGCTGCCCCCGAAAACAAAAATCGTCTTCTTTTTAGACACCTCCTATCAGAAACAGGGCGTTCTTTGTTGTTGTGGCTTTGTGTGAAGTCATCTATACAAGTGGAAAACTAACACAAGCCATGGAACGGGAAAATACCCCGGGGAGAAGGGAGGCTGGGGGAAGCCGAGGGGTAATTAGCCACCAGCCGCTCCCAGCCTGCCGCTCTGGCCAGAGCTAAGGCAGTCCTCAGCTGACAACCAGGCAGTGAGGAGAGGAAGAGGAACCCCTGCTCCCCTGGGGAACCCTCTGCCCAGGTCTGGCACCCGCACCTCCAGGGCACCAAACGACCGGAGCGGGCTCGTAGGAGAGCTGCGAGAGAGAACAAAACGCGCTTTGTACTGAAAGAGTAAAAGCGCTTCATCTGTTCATCAAAGGAAAGGATACGGTGTGACTTGATCATAACCATAAAAAACTTCCTGGTAGAAAGACATTTTATACAAGACTGCTTTTCAGTTTAGCTAGCACAGGTATAACAAGCTCCAAGGGCTGGAAGCAGACGCCCAACAGGTCAGTCTAGGTGTAAGGCACATTTTTCACCATGAAGGTAGAGAGGCACCAGTAGCCCGGCCTCGTGAAGGCACCAGAAGGCCAAAACAGGAATGGATCTTTTCGCATCTGCTCCTTTTCAGCATTATATCCAACAGGCTTGCAGTAGAGATTTTGCAAACGGCAGCTGCTCCGGGTGCTGCTCGCATCCTGTTCTGTAGACAAAGTCCAATGCGCATCCACCCCGGTATTTCTACACGTAACGAGGACAAGGATGGGGCCCCTGTGTGAACACCAACTGTTCTAATGTGTTTGTGAAAAAAAACCACAATTGACCAGTATCAGCTGTAGTGGGCTGGGGGAATCAATTTTACTGCCTGCAGTTATTCTGGGCTTTAAGTCAGTAACTTCGAGGCTGCAGACAAGTTTCACAGTTTTTAGAGCAGATAATAACTGTACAAGCTTCTCATACAAACATGCCTAGTAAAGTTTCTGAAGCTTGGCTTTGGCAGGAAATTATTTCTGCACTTCCTCCTCCACCAGTTCACTCAAACCCTGACTGAACACCAATACTCCTCACTTAATTCCCACAAGCACCTCAGTTTTGCCTTAAAATACACCACTACTCTAACACAAAGCTTCCCCTGAGCAGGCTCAGTGGTGCTGAGGCTGGATGATCCCAGTCCCCTTTATGCTCCTTACTTATCAGGGCACTTTAATAGGAAATCTTCCCCAAGAGAGATTTTGTTAATCCCAGACAGTTCTGCACATTAATTTCTCCATGAGTTAATAACTTCAGAACTTGCACCAAAATAGTAAGCTCTGTAATAGTAATTTTACAATAAAAGGTGGAAGTAGCATTCATAATTTAGCAATATTCATCTCAGAGTTCAATACTAGCAGTATAAACACTAGCAATAACACCACTTCTCGTGCTCCGCTTTCAGCATTTTACCTCCACCCGTTTTTGTAATGTAGTTAGAACGGAGATTTACTGAGCCAGGTGCGATTCCTTCTCTCCAGTGTCCCCACTACTGCTGCTCACGTTTGGGGTGATGGTTTGCTGCCACCAATTTTAAGTGTGACATCAAGACGTATCCTGAGCACACTAAGGTGATGCTCTCCTTTGAAACAATGGCAGCAGCTGTCAGCACAAAAGATTTTTGGCACGGAGCGAGCTGAACCAATGTTAGAAGCAACAGGGAAGGTATGTGTTTTCACAGCGTATTGGTGTATGCTCAGAAAAGTCACTGCAGGGTGCAAGTTGGAGCAGTGCTGGACTGTTGGCTGTTCTGAGCTGGCAACTGAGCAAGCAGCTCAAGGACTACCTCGGCTCCATCGCAGCACTGAGCACCAGCAGCCCTCTTGCCCCATATCCTCTGCCCTTCTTACGTGCAGCATGGCAACCAATGACAAAAGGACTAAAACTGCACCGAAGACACTACTGAAAGTAGGGCACAGTATCTTTCATATCGACCTGTTAACAGTAATTTATCTACAACTTCTCTTAGAAGCTAATTATTTTACACATT